TTCCCATGGCTCCAAGGAGAACCTTTCCTGGCCTTTTCCAGCTTCTAGTGGCACCGCATCCCTGATTCATGGCCCCTTCCTGATTTCACAGCCAGCAGCACCAGTTCTTCCATCTCTCTTGACTCTGACCCTCCTGCCTCCCTATTATGAGGACCTTGTGATGACACTGGGCTTCCAGGGAATCCAGGTTCATCCACATCTCAGGGTCCTTGACTTAATCCCACCTGCAAAATCCCTTTATCTCATGAGGTGACACATCTGCAGGTGCAGGGACTAAAGAGGGGACATTTTGAGGATCTTTATTCTGCTGACCCCAGGGTGTGATTGAGCTTTCTGAAGGATGGGGCCAGCTCTGCCCTCTGCCCTGTGTCTGGCCCTAGGAGGATTATCATTAGCACATCATGTAAACTCAGTGCCACTCCAGGCCTGTGCCCTGGCCTGGCAGGGAGCTGCCCCAAGGAGGTGGCCCCTGAACCACAAGGCCTGGAGTCAGCCATCAGGGAGAGGCCCTTGGCTTCAAGACAAGATGATTTGGGAGCAGGTGATTTGAGTGGTGTGTCCTGGTCAGGCCCAGGGCTTCCCCCACATCCACCCCCCTTTTCCTCTCTGGCCCTCAACACCCATCCAGCCACACCTTGCCCCTCCTGTCTATCCTCCTCTGACTGTGCCCTTCCTAGGAACTGTACCCATGCCATGAAAGACCCCCACCCTCTTCAAAACTAGGGCACTTTGCCCTGGTTGGTTTGGCTCAGCGGTTAGAGCTTCAGCCCACAGACCAAAGAGTTGCGGGTTCGATTCGGTCAAGGGCACGTACTTTGATTGCAGTTCAGTCTCCAGCCCTGGCCCAAGTCATGTGTGAGGCACCCAGTCGATGTATCTCTCTCACATTGATTTCTCTCTCTCTCTGTCTCTCTCTCTTTCTCTCCCTCTCTCCCACTCTATCTGAAGATAAATGGAAAAAATATCCTCGGATGAGGACTAAAAAAAAAAAAAAAACTAGGGCACTTTGACCTGGCTGAGTAGATCAGTTGGTTAGAGGTTTTGTTTTGTTTTGTTTTGTTTTTTAATGTTTTTTTTTTATCCTCACCAAAGGACATTTTTCCATTTTTTGTGCAGATAAAGCGGGAGGGAGAGAGAGGAAGAGAGAGAGAGAGAGAAACATCGATGTGAAGGGACACATCGAGTGGCTGCCATCCGCACGACCAACCAGGGCCGGGGACAAACTGCAACCAAGGTACATGCCCTTAGCGGGAACCGAACTCGGGTCTCTCTGTACCGCAGGCCAACACTCCAGCCGCTGAGCCAAACCGGCCAGGGCTAGAGGGTTTTTTTGTTTGTTTGTTTTGTTTTTTAATCCTCACCCGAGGACATTTTTCCATTTTTTGCTCAGGTAGAATGGGAGGGAGAGAGAGGAAGAGAGAGAGAGAGAAACATCGACGTGAAAGGGACACATTGAGTGGCTGCCAAAAATAGCCCTGGCCAGTTTGGCTCAGCGGTTAGAGCGTTGACCTGCGTTCCGAAGAGACCCGGGTTCGGTTCCTGCTAAGGGCACGTACTTCGGTTGCAGTTTGTCCCCGGCCCTGGTTGGTCGTGCGGGTGGCAGCCACTCGATGTGTCCCTTCACGTCGATGTTTCTCTCTCTCTTTCCCTTCCTCTCTCTCCCTCCCACTCTATCTGTACAAAAAATGGAAAAATATCCTCAGGCGAGGATAAAAATAAATAAATAAATAAATAAATAGCCCTGGCCGGTTGGGCTCAGCGGTTAGAGCGGTGGCCTGCGGTCCAGAGAGAGACTAGGGTTCGGTTCCCACTAAGGGCACGTACCTCGGTTGCAGTTTGTCCCCGGCCCCGCTTGGGGTCGTGTGAGTGGCAATCAATTTATCTCTCTCTCTCTCTCTCTCTCTCTCCCTCTCACTCTATGCAAAAATGTGCTCATGTGAGGACAATAAACAAACAAACAAACAAACAAACGAGGGCACTTGTACATGATGCCCCAGGTCACCATTAGGGAGAGGTCAGCTGGGAACAGGAAACCTGGCTCCCCAGAGAGTCATGTAGGTGTTTAATGTCTTGGATGTGGGAGAAAAGCCATGATAAGCCAAGTGTCCCATCCTCAGTCACTGGGCAGGGTGGTGCCCTTTGGCCATCTGCTAAACCAACCCTGCCCACCCTCTGGCCCTTGGGACTTTTAGTGACTGACCCCTGAGAGGCAGGACTTGAGCAGTACTATCCCCTTTCACAGTGGGGTAGGCACCAAGGCTGCAGAGGCACCCACAGCTGGCAGCTCCTGGCCTCACCCACCCCTGCTTTCCTTTCTCCCTGCCCTACCCCCTACACCCTCAAGGAGGACTGGGGCCCTGGCTTTGTCCCCAGGACTGCTGAGCCACTGGAATGGAGCTAGCCATGAGTCAGCCAGCGGGAAGGGACACTTACAGCCACTTGCATCAGATGTTCCTGCCTCATGGCCCCATTGCCAGAGGCCCTAGCCCATGACCCTCACTTTTCTGGGACCTTCTGGGGCTTGTGGTTCCTTCCCTGGAGGAGCCAGACAGGTGGCAACATGCAGAGGGGGTGCAGGCCAGTCTGGGTGCCAGCCCAAGACTCTGAATCCACCTGCCTCCCACACCCACAGCCACCCCAGACTCTAGTGCTGACCCTGATTCTAACCCCCTAGCTTAGAATCTGGGCTGGGATCTGGGCTTCTCCCACAGCAGCTTAGTGCTTGAGGGCCAGCTCTGTGACCCCAGCCTCAGGTGCTGGGCTCTGAGCAGAGAAGAGAGTGACCCTTCCCTAAAGGCAGGCTTGTGAGAATACTGTAATAGTCCCCATACCAGCCCCATAGCACCCTGCCTCCCTCATGGGCACCCCTGCTGTCACGTGTACACATACCAAGTAGACGCATGCATGGGCCCCACACCTCCATGCTGCTTCCACAGATGCATAGGATTTGCTCTACACAGACCTAGGCTGTGCCTCACTGAACGTGCACAGACACACGTACACACCCCAGCCTGCTCGCACTTGCACACACACCAAACTGGTGCCTTATTTCTTTTTTAAATTTTTTTCTTTATTGATTTTAGAGATAGGAAGGGAGAGGGAGGAATAGAAACATCGATGAGAGAGAACATCAGTTGGCTGACTCCTGCATGCCCCCCAGTGGGGATCAGGCCCACAACCTGGGCATGTGCCGGTGAATCAAACCTGTGACCTTCTTGTATATGGGTCAACGCTCAACCACTGAGCTACACCGGCCAGGGCTAGTGCCTTATTTTTAATGTTGGGGGACAAAGGTATTTACTGTCACTCCCTGGTAGGGTTGCCAGAAAACATACAGGATGCCAGTTAAATTTGAATTTCAGATAAACAATGAGAACTTGCTTGGGATATATTTATGCATGGGACTTATCCCAAGCAAGTATTCTTTGTTTATCTGAAATTCAAATTTAACTGGCATGCTGTATTTTTATGTGGTAACTCTGGGAGCCCTACCTGCTGGTTGTGGAGGCCCTGAGCAGCCCTGGGATTTCCTGGACACTGCCCATGAGGTGAACTCTGCACTGACTGAACCCCAAGGATGCCTGACCAGGTCAAAGTGGACACCGGCCAACGGACCTGCCTCTTCCTTGCTCAGAGGAGGCAGAGAGAAGCAGAGGGCTCCCAGGTTGGTAATCAGGACCTGCCTGGTGTCTCCCCTGGGGTTCTGGGGTAACCTTATATATGACATAGGCTAAGAGCCACCCTGCAGAAGTGAGACTTCTCCCAGGCTGGCTGGAGGTGGAGAGGGCACCTCCTAGAGAGCCGGCTCCCTACACCTTCTGCCAAGGCTTGTCAAGCTCTCTCCATGACTTAGGTGGGAAAGGCATTTAACTGCCTGTTTCTCCTTTTTTCTGGCCGCCACTTCCCAGCCCTGCTCTGGGAGCCTCAAGCTGGCTTCTGGCCCCCGAGGGCAATCCTGAGTCCCCCACCTCAGGCTGGCCATTTTCCCTGTCATCCTTGGTGGGGAGTATCCTTGTCCTGAGCCCTGACTGTCCTGCCCACCAGCCCTGGCTAGACCTGCCCCTTGCTGACTGTCACTGCCCGCGCCTGAATGAAGGAAATCTGCCGCCCAAAACCGGGAAGCCTTAAGTAGGGGCCAGCCTTCCTGCCTCACCTGCCTGGCAGGTTCCTTCCACCTAGAGACAGGTCGGATCTCTCTCCAAGAGGCCGGGGAGACCCCTTGGGCCAGGCTGACTGTATCCTAGACTGGGTTGGGTGCCCCAGCCAAAATGGGATTGTTTTACCTCCTGTCCTGGCCCAACAATCCATCACTCCAGAAGAAACCCTCCTTTGCAGGACTGAGGAAGGATCCTGCATAGATCTTAGTACTGATCCCCTACTGTGGTCCCTTTTCCCTGCCAACAACGGGTTGAACTCTTGGGAGTTCAAAGCGTGTTGGGTGTGCCTATGGGGCAGAGGGGGCCAGGATCTGGAAGCTGCAAGGCAGGTTCTAGAGCAGGAGCGTCGCCAAAAGGAGTCAGTGTATCCTAGGCCCCGGACAGCACACCGGGGTAGCCGCCAGAGGGCGGGACCCGGCTCCAGCTCCGTATCGGAGTCCCGCAGGCTGCGGGGAGTTTCAGGCAGCCCCTCCCACAGCCGCGGAAACCCTTCCTCGATCACGCGCCCGGAACCACGCGCGCTGCACAGCGCAAGCGCACAGACAAGCCTCACAGGCAGAGCGCGCAGCCGCACTAAGGCCCAGAGCGTTCGTCCAACTCCGCCCCCGCCGCGCGCGTGTGGGCGGGGACTGAGGGGCGAGCCCTACGTCGGGGGCGGGGCTTGGCCTGGCCCATAAAGGCGGCGGCGGCGCAACGCGCGCGACTCCAGGCGGCGGCGGCGGCGGCGGCGGCAGGGGCGGCGGTGGTGGCGGCGGCGGCGGCGGCGGTGGCGGCGGCGGCGGCGGCCCAGGTGGAGGGGTTTGCGGCGGCGGCTGTGGCGGTGGCGGTGGCGTCGGTGGCGGCGGCACTGTTCCCCGCGCGGTTCGCGCAGCGGGGTTCGGGCTGCGTGTCTCAGGTGGTGGCGGCGAAGGAACTGCGCCCCCGGCCCGAGTCCGACTCCGGTGAGTGCGGCCAGCGACCCTGGCCTGGCCTGGCCCCCGACTCGGGCGTGGGGATCGGGCTCCGCGGAACCTCGCTGCCTGGGCCTGTGCTCCCGGTGCGCCGGCTGCGGCCACTCACGCCCTTCTTTGTCTGCTCCCGCCTGCAGGGTCCTCTCCCAGGCCGCCCCCCCGCCCACGGGCCGCCCCCCGGGCCCTGCGTCCCCTCCCCCGCTGGCGGGGCCCGGACAGAAGATGGTGCAGAAGAAAACAGCCGAACTTCAGGGCTTCCATCGTTCGTTCAAGGTGAGAGCTGGGATGGTTTGGGGGGCGCTCCAGGTTGGTCCACCCGAGTGGCCGGTGGAGGCGCGGAGCTTACCCTCAGGATCTCCTGGGGCTCGTGCTGCCCCCCCCACCCCACCCCCGGCCTTGGTGTGCACCGGTGGGGAAATCAGCGGCCGATAGTTCAGTCTTATTCACCCTGGGTTCCCTGGAGCCATTCCTCTAGGAGTCCTAGGTGAACCATGGGGCCCCTGTATGCGGGGCCCCTTGGTTGTGTGTTCCCTGCAAACCTCAGTCGAATGTATAGTGCTGGGTGGGGCGGCAGCAGGCCATAGTCCTGTCCCCGACACTGTGAGGTCCTTTTTCCAGAAATGCCAGACAGGGCTAGAGGCCTTTCTCCTCACATCCTCCTTATGTAGCCTGCAAAATAGAGGTGTGGATTGTGTGTCCCCCCAGTCCTGCACCTACCAGACATCCCAGGCCTAAGTGCTATTTCCTGTTGGAGCGGGAAGTCTCTGCGGTGGCACCAAGGCTTTGAGTTCTGCTCTCAGATGAGCAAGTGTGTGGGGGTCGGGCAGGTGCTGGGCAGGGGCCCCATGGGGCCTGGCCCATGGGACGCAGTGATGTCAGCAGCCACCCCACCCCGCCTACTGAGTTATGTAATGGCTTTCCTGGGCCTCCTTGGGCAGGGACCTGTTGCCCTGCAGAGGAGGCAGGACCTGGGGGTTGGGGGTGTGTGTATAGACAAGCCAGACACCAGGATGGGAGGAGCTATCCTGGAGTGTTTGGGTTAGAATTCCCAGGCCTGTCCAGCCAGCGTTGCATGCCAGCGCCCCACCCCATACACATCTGTCATCTTTGCTTACCCCCCTCAGGGTAGTGACAGCCTTGGCATGTCCAAGTGGCTTGGGCTGGGTAGGAAGGGCATGGACAAAAGATGTCACTGGTGGTGGTCTGTTAACTCATGGAGCTGTGTCTGAGCTGAGACAGGGTCAGTGGGCAGGGCCAGCTCTGCGGTCAAAGCATACTCAAAACTTTCTGGATGGTTCCAGCTGCCTCTTGCCAAGGCCTGCTGACTGGAGGCCGGCAGCCAGCCCTGGGCCTGGCCCGCCTACACTGCTTAAGCCTGAAGGCTGGCCTTTGTAGGCCACCCAAGAGCTCTGTGTGTGCCCTGTGCTGATGTGGGACTGTGGGAGTCCAAGGGAGGGAGTAGGGACACTGGACAGGGAATCTTGGCTCTGAGGTGGCCCTCCAGGGTCCATCTCTTCTGAGTTGGGGGCTGGTACAGATGTATGGGAGCAGTAAGGGGACCCACAGTTCCCTCAGATCCTAGTGCCCTTATTTGATTGTTGGGGCAGCTTTCTCATGTTCACTCTACATCCTGATCACTCTCTTACTCTCCATTTGTGGCCACCCTGGAGCCTCTCCTTCTAGGTAGAATGACAGAGACTTATGAGAGCATTGGTTCTAGTCCCCATGGGGGCCAGACTCCTCAATGGGCTGGAGCAGGGGCTGGTGGATGAGCATCAGCAGACTGACTTCATTGCTCTCTTCCTCCCTCCTTCCCTGCACCTCCTAGCAACTATCTGCAGGGTGGGTAAGGAGGCTGGGAGGGCCTGCCTGTTTTTCAGCTGCTCCCTCTGACCTCTGTCTGCACCCTCTGCAGCTGGCCTGGCTTGCAGGCCTCCTGTCTGCAGGAATTTGGCCTGGCAGAGTGGGCCCCTCTGGGTTTCCCTGGGGCTTTCCTGGAGTTCCTTCTCTATTGGATGATTCTCCTGCCACAGCCAAAGCCCCAGCTGTCATGAGGCCCAGAGAGGGGCAGTGACTTGGCCCAGGTGACCCAACATCAGTCCTGGCACCACAACTATGTATATAGGCCCTCCCTATGCCCACCAGGGCCCTGGCTGCCTGGTCTGTCAGGATATTGGGAACTAATTAGAACTGACTCCTAAAGGAACTTGGCTGGGCCTCAGTATCCCTCAGCCTTTATGCGAGGGGCTGTCAGTTCTCGTGCAGAATCATCTGCTCTGCAAAAATGGCATTTATCCTTCTGTTTGTCCCATTGGAGATTTCTTCAGTTCCCAGCTGCCTATCTTCCTTGGGCCCTCCTCTCTCCAGTTCTGGGGGTCACCTGGTGACCTTGATCAGGTCCCTCACTGACAGGGCTGGTTTCTTCACTGGGCACTTCTTTCTGGGGGGTCTTTGGGGGTGAACAGGGATTCAGGTGTGGCCCAAGCTGAGAGTTGCCCAGTGTTCATGCTGGAGCCCGTAGATGCCTCTCCTGAAGCCACTGAGGGAACAGTGGGACAGGAGGGAGAGCAGCATAAGGCAGGGAGGGTGTTGCCACCCCATTACACAGGAAGAGCTGAGCCCACAGGCCGTGGGAAAGCAGGCAGGGTAGCTAGCTAGGAGCCCCGCCCTAGAGCTGGTGACTCATCCCCCACTGACTGCTCTTTGCCTTTGATCCCCAGCTTGCTGTCCCCATTCTACAGGTGAACAAACCAAGGTGCCCACAGTAACTCGCACTTCCTCATTACTGCATGGCTGCACCCTCTCCCTGGTGGCCTCAAGGGCCCTGGGCTGGGGATAGAAGGGCTATTAACTTCATGGTCAGGCAAAGCCAGGCTTTGTCCCCCTTGGCAAGTGTACACAGGGCTTGGTCACCCTGTGATGGGATAGCTCTGGCAGCAATAGGGCTTAAGAGCTCTCTCCTCTTTTCCCCTACAGGGGCAGAATCCTTTCGAGCTGGCCTTCTCCCTAGAACAGGCCCATCCCGGGGAGACTGACTTCAGCCTGGATTGCCCAGCCCGTCCTGGTGAGGGGCCTGGGAGGGAGAGGACTGTGGGTGTGGATCAGGTGGGGCCTAAGAGCCACAGGGGCCAAGTGGGCCTCACATCCAGGTCTCCTGGTGCAGATATGCCCACGAGCCAGCCCATTGACATCCCAGATGCGAAGAAGAGGGGCAAGAAGAAGAAGCGGTGTAGGGCAACTGACAGCTTCTCTGGCAGATTTGAAGGTCAGTGGGGTTGATGGGGCTGGGGATAGCAGGAAGATGGCTAGGCGGCCCAGGACGGCTCTCACCGCCATCCCTGCTCTTCAGATGTCTACCAACTGCAGGAAGATGTGCTTGGGGAGGGCGCCCATGCCCGTGTGCAGACTTGCATCAATCTCATCACCAATCAGGAGTATGCGGTCAAGGTAAGCACAGTACCCTCACCTGTTCCCTTCTCCCCAGCAGCGCCTGAGATCTGGCATTCGAGCTACCAGACTCAATGGAGAAATCCAGTGTCTAAAAATGACCCCAGGGCTAGTGATTCAGGTCACCCCTAGGAATCCAGATCAGCCTGGGCTGAGCCCCCCAAGTCCGGGCAGAGATGGGAAGTGACCATGAAGTAAGTATAGCCCCTTATATAAGTGGCTGAGGACCTGGTGCCAGAATGGCCGTTGAGAGTGGGGTAAGGGTTGGAGAGGCTTTGGTCAAAGCTTATGCTCACCTGCTGGGTTACCTCAGGCTTGTCTCCAGGCACAACAAGTGCTTACCTGTATGGATTACTAGGATTAAAAGGCAACACCATACTTAGGGCCCAGGGGGCTCGGGATTCAGGGAGATCAGGGCAGAGCCTCTTTCATGCCCCATGTGGCCTCTGACCCAGGGTGCGGCCTGGAAGCTCTGGCCCTGTGGCCTCTGTAGTTTGGCCAGACTGTTGGATCCTACATTCCAGGAAACCTTCCAGGCTCCCTACATGACCCTGCATCAGGGCTAGGTGGGGTCATGGGAGGCTAGCTGCCCAGGCAGGGAGGTCAGGTGCTCCCTGGCAAGCAGGGCTGACCAGAATTTTCAGGCTTTGGTGGAAGTCTAGTTAGACAAAAGTGGCTGTGGGCAGGGACTGCCCCTGGAAGCTCCCAGGTGGGGTGGGGCAATGGTGTGAGAGAATTAGATACTTATAAAGGAGCACTTTCTGCATACCAGGTGTGCAGGTGTATCTCTGAGTACCTTTCTTCTAAGGACCTGCTGAGAAGCCTACCTTACTCTCACTATTGGACAGATAGGGAAATTGAGGCCCTGAGTCACACTATGTCTGACTTCCCAGAAGGCCATCCACTTTTCCGAGGAACTGCAATTTTCTCTATGAGGTGGGGTCTTAACCAGATTCCCAAGGGACAGGATGAGGTTCACTTTGTTGAGAGGGGTGTGGTTGGAGGCTTTGTCTCTGGCGGCCCTAGAATCTGTTTTTCTGTTCTTCTTTGGGACAGGTGTATTTGTCATTAGACAGGTGGGACTGCATAGGCCCAGGCCTTGGTCAGTGGACTTGTCTGCCTGTCTACTGCAGGAGCCTGGCCTGTGGAACATACCACATTCCTTTACTCCAGACCTTAGTGGTGGGCAGGGAGCCCTGAGCATGGGTGGTTACCCAGCCTGCCCACCTGCCCAGCATGAGGGGACCCGAGGCACCTTCTGACCCCACCCCTCTGTGAGCAAAGGTGGCTGGGGGGCATAAGGGGGCTGGGCCCAGAACCCTCTGGTTCTTAGAGCTCCTGGGTACCGGAAAGGGTTGGAGACTGAAGTGCAGGTTGGCTTCCTAAGGCTCTGGGGTTTGGGAGGCTGTGTCTGCTGGTGGGCAGGGGGGCCAATCTGGGCTTGCCTGAAATACCCAGGCATGTGCGGCCACCAACATGTACCCAGACTGGTGTGGAACTGGGGAGGCAGGTAGGTGCCCTGAGAAGTTCCCTGGGCGTGTGGGAGCCAGCAGAGTGGTTCCTAGACTCCTGGTCAGGGAGGGGAGGCCACTCAGTCCAAGAGATCCTGATGTTGTGAAAGTGGTATTTTGTAGGGGCCCCATGCCCCACATGTATCCCTGAGGCTTTTCGGTGTTGGGAGTGGATAGGGTCTGGCTCCTCTCTGCCTCTCCTTCACTCATCCCTCCTTTCGTGCTGCTTGGGCAACACATTGCCCACTACTTGTGCTGATGCTGCAGTTCTGACTGGCAGATTCTGGGTGCCCATAGGAGAACTTTGTTTTCTAGAGCTTAACAATCTAAAGCTGTAACAGTTTCAGGTGTAGCACAGGGAACGTTTCTGGCGGAGGCCCCTCGGACCGTGGAAAGTCTAGCTGACCTAGCTGCTGTGTCCCCCCACCCCCACACGTTTCAGATTATCGAGAAACAGCCCGGCCACATTCGGAGTAGGGTTTTCCGGGAGGTGGAGATGCTGTATCAGTGCCAGGGACACAGGTAATGTGACCCACCCTCGGCTCTGAGCCATCACTTAGTGGATGAATGGGCCTGAATGCCTCTTTACCCCCAGCAAGCGATTAAGGAGTTCCCACTGTGTTCCAGGCCATTGTGAGTGGACCCAGTGTTAGGCAGGCAGTCTGAGGTGGGCAAGGTGGGAGCAGGCCTGTGGACCCAGTCCTAGCCTTCCTGTGGGCAGGTGGGGGTGAGGAGGGTGGACCCCTCATGAGCTGGGCATACACAAGGACTTTAGAAAGTTTCACTCCTGCTCCCTACTCCCCAGGAACGTCCTAGAGCTTATTGAGTTCTTCGAGGAGGAAGACCGCTTCTACCTGGTGTTTGAGAAGATGCGGGGTGGTATGTGGGGCCCGGGAGACATGTCCAGTTAAGTTTTAATGGGCTATGGACTCAGGACCACCATGGAAGACATTTCCAAGGGGGCTTGTAGGTTCTAAGCTTCTTATCCACTTTGAGCCCAAGGAGGCGGGAGTGGAGGCTTCCCTGCCAGGTGGGAGTGGGTGCTGGGCAGTGGCCTGGGGTTACAGAGGTGATCCTTACACGTTTTTTCCCCTCCGCCATGGCCTGGCCACAGGCTCCATCTTGAACCACATTCACAAGCGACGGCACTTTAATGAGTTGGAGGCCAGCGTGGTCGTGCAGGACGTGGCTAGCGCCCTGGATTTCCTGCACAACAAAGGTGGGGTTGGCTGCTCAGGGTGCCACCTACTTTTCGCCAACCTGCCCAAAGATGCCTGGGTCCCATGAGTGTCCAGTCTTGCCCCTAGTACACCTGCCTAGGATTCCCCAAAGATGCACCCACCCCACCCATTAACTATCCCTGGTGGTTCTACCCACAGGGATTGCCCACAGGGACCTAAAGCTGGAAAACATCCTCTGTGAGCACCCCAACCAGGTGAGGGGTGCTGGGGGTTGGGGGAGTTGGCCTTCCCTCCAGGATGGGGCCCTGTGCAGGCTGGACCAGACCCCCAAGGCCAGGACTCCCCTCCCAACTCACCTACCTCACTATCCCTTCCTGACTCCCTCCCAGGTCTCCCCTGTGAAGATCTGCGACTTCGATCTGGGCAGTGGCATCAAACTCAATGGGGACTGCTCCCCCATCTCCACCCCTGAGCTGCTAACCCCGGTGAGGGCCTGCGGGGGTCAGGGGGCGGGCTGGGAGGGGCAGGGCAACGGAACAAGACTACATTCTGTCCCTAAGCTGCTAGTTTGAGACCTCTAGGCAGGCCTGGCAGGCCTGGCCTGGCGGGGCGGGTGGGGCGGGGCGAGGCGGGGCGAGGCGAAGGGCAGGGCGTAGCGCTGGGCAGCTTGGGGCAGCTTGCGTCTCAGTGCTGGGGCCTTGGAACTCAAGCTTTCGCTTAGCAACAGGCGCTGATTGGCCCTTCGGGTGTGAAGGGGCGGGGCTGCCATCACGCAGGAAGGGGCAGGCTTCCAGCACCTGTTGTTTGGGCAGGGGGGTGCCTTAGTCAGATGGGGCGGAGTTGGCACCAGTTATCAGCCTGTGATTGGCCGGGCAGGGCTGTCAGTCACAGCGGGCTTGGGCTCAGGTGACAGGGCGGTCCAGCGTCTCACAGTTATGCGGGGAAGTCCCTGCTGGTGGCATCCCTGTCTCAACATCCTGTCGTCACCCCTGTCACCCCCCCCCCCCCCCCCCCCGCAGTGCGGCTCTGCTGAATATATGGCTCCTGAGGTGGTGGAGGCCTTCAGCGAGGAGGCCAGCATCTATGACAAGCGCTGCGACCTTTGGAGCCTGGGTGTCATCCTCTACATCCTGCTCAGTGGCTACCCACCCTTCGTGGGCCATTGCGGCAGCGATTGTGGCTGGGACCGCGGTGAGGCCTGCCCAGCCTGCCAGGTGCGAAAAGGGACCTGTGCACTCCCATTCCCTTCCCTGTGCGATCCTTAGGGCCTGGCCCCTGAACATTGATCACATTCTGGCCTGATCTTCTTGGGTTTCTTGAGGTTCTTCATGTCTGACTTATAGCAGAGAGCAGTTCAGTCAGGGAGCTGAGGTGCGGTGAGGCCTATGGTTTGGGGTGACCAGGTTTTTGAGTTCTGTGCAGGATTTGAGGGTCAAGATTCATATCCTGGAGCCTTCAGGAGGCCAGCTGTCCTGACCAGCTACCCCCAGACTTTTGTTACTCACTTTTTTGGCTTTTCAACCTGCCCCCCAACCCTCCCTACCCCCTGTCCTGCCAACTGATCCCAGGGCCCTGAGCCCAAATTCCACCTCACTGTCTGGGTAGCCAGTCTGGGGTCCTTGCACCTGGTTGCTGGGCCACAGGTCAGACCTGGGAGCCCTGACAGAGCCTGTCCCTTAGTAGTGTCCCAGCTCTCTCTGAGTCCAGGCTTGCCCATCAGATGTCAGGGCTGACTGAGTCTCGGCTACTTTGGCTGCAGCTGACCCCTCCTGCACATGTTCCCCCAGAACATGCTGTTCGAGAGTATCCAAGAGGGCAAGTACGAGTTTCCTGAGAAGGACTGGGCCCACATCTCCTTTGCTGCCAAAGACCTCATCTCAAAGCTGCTGGTTCGTGACGCCAAGCAGAGGCTGAGTGCTGCTCAGGTCCTGCAGCACCCCTGGGTGCAGGGGGTGAGTGCCAGCCCCATTGGGGACAGCTGGGCTTGGGGGCCTTGCTTCTGTCTAGCTTCCAATGGGCTGGGATTGTGACTTAGAAAAAGTGTGAGAGAACCTTTGGGGCCCAGTGTCAGGACCCCTTGTAGTGTGGGTCTGGGGTTCAGTTAGTCATCCTCTGGGGCCAGGCCCAGTTATGAAATCTCCCCCACCAGGTTAAGGTAGGGGCTGGAGGAGCTACTTAGCAAAACCCCGGCCTGTGCCCTGGAGGCACTGGGGTCTCTTCTAACCTGGCACAGAGCAACAGACTAAGGTCAGCAGGGGGCAGATGGGTGGATGGCCAGCCTCTGACAGCTCTGTACCCTTCAGTCCCAGAAGAGCCTGATGTTTGTTCTTATCAGTGGTTATCCTTACTGGGGCCACCAGGGCAAGGAGCCCCTTGGGGAACAAGGACCACCTGCTCAAGGCAGGCCAATGGTGCCACTGGGGGTGCTCTGAACTCCTTTTGGGAGTATCAGGAGACCTATGGATTGAGAACGGAGAAGGGCTGGGCTGAGAATGGTTAGGTGGGGTAGCTGGTGAGCAGGTAGGCCTGGGGAGCCTCTGGGCCCCACCACCATAGACACCTGGGCTCCTGCAACATCTGTTCACCCCAGCTTGCCTCAGCTTCCAAGCAGGCGGATCTTTTAACCCTTGGTGCTGTCATAGCCAGCTGGGGACCTAGGAGAGTTGGCCCTGGGGAGGATGAGCCTGGCTCTGTTCTCTAGCCCCGCCTCTTTGGTCTCCTTGCAGTGCGCCCCGGAGAACACCCTGCCCACGCCCATGGTCCTGCAGAGGTGAGGCCTGCATTGGGTCTCAGGCCCAAAGAGGGGAGCCCCTAGTGCAGCAAGGGCAGTTAAAAGTTAAGGTATTCAGCCCTGGCTTGTTTGCCTCTTGGGTTAGAACATTGGCCCACCAACCAAAGGGTTTCAGGTTCTCTTCTCGGTCAAGGGCACATACCTGTGTCGCAGGTTCAATTCCTGCCCTGCCCTGGTCAGTGTTGGATGGGAGGCAACCAATCGATGTTTCTCACATCCATGTTTCTCCCCCATTACCTCTTCCCTTTTCTTACTGTTTCCTGAAATCAATGAAAAAATATCCTCGGGGGAGGATTAGCAAAAAAAAAAGTTATAATGTTTTAAAAAGACAATAAATTATCTTAATGTTGTAGTGGAAGCCATTCAGGCACTGGGGGTCCTTGTATGGATGATGGATTAGGTCCTGGGCTGGAGGGGGTTGAGGGTTGGGTTCCATAGCCCTTTCTCCATGGCACTGCACAGATCCTGGAGGTCCCAAGGGAAGCAGAGGGTGTACCTGGCAGCTACCTCCCTCTCCTTGGTGACTGCCCCATCTTGTCCCCAGGAACAGCTGTGCCAAAGACCTCACGTCCTTCGCAGCCGAGGCCATCGCCATGAACCGGCAGCTGGCCCAGCGCGAGGAGGACGCATTGGAGGAGGCAGGGCAGGGCCAGCCCGTGGTCATCCGAGCTACCTCACGCTGCCTGCATCTGTCCCCACCATCCCAATCCAAGCTGGCCCAGCGGCGGCAGCGAGCCAGCCTGTCTGCAGCCCCTGTGGTTCTGGTGGGGGATCATGCATGACCCCTCCCTCCTTCTGTACATATGTCGTTCCCTCCCCCATCAGATCTCAAGATTTTTTTAAGCTATTGCCAGCCAGTGACCAGCAGGCTGTGCTACCTTCCTTCCACCCCCCCTTGGGTTCACGCAGCTTAGCTGGGGGGGTCTTTTTATATAAAGTTTTTGCTGTTGGGTTTTTCCTTTTTTTCTGTCCCCCACCCCCATATTTTTTCTTTGAATGGTGTTAAAAGTGAACAGGCACCCTGGGAGAAGAGCAGAGGGCATATGTGCTGCGAATGCCCCCGCCCTGCCACCCTGGCTCCATGTGCTTACCTGTACTGTGAACGGCCCTGTGCCCGTGGCCCTTGCCCAATGTGACTCAGGAGAGGAGGATGTTTGCCGTCTTCCAGAGCTGGGGGGTCCCGGAACACACCTGCACCCCCTCCCCCTTCCCAGCCCTCACAGTGTTCTCAAAGCCAGGCTGACCCTGCACCTCCCTTTTGCCCCAAAGGTAACCTGGTGGCCAGTAGGGTCTTGGGTGTGGGCAAGCGGAGTAAACAGCCACCCACATGGACACCACCTTTTACCCCACCTCTGACTGAACCTTTACCTTAAATTGCAGCTGACGGGGAGGGGCTGTACCCATTGCCACTACCCCCCACTCTCCACTGGGGGCTCTGTCTACACAGGTTGGGGGGCACTGGAGGAATGGGAGGGGCTGGACTGGTACCCGTCAGCCAACATGGGGGACCTGCAGACCCCCCCCATCCTGGGCACCCGAGTGCCCCTTCTCAGGGCTCAGTCTGACCATGGCCACGTCTTGCCTCCTGTTGACCCTTGGGTTGGCATGGAAACTCTGCCAGCCCTGCCTCTTCCTCTAACTGGAGCCAGGGCTGATGGGGGTTCCTGCTGAATCCTCACCCCCAAAGGCAGCATTCCTGCTCTGCCCACCCTCAGGCACCCAGAAACTGCCCTTGCCCCCCTCTCCCCCACCCAGTGCCCAGGTCAGATGTTGAGGGACCTGCTTGACTTGAGGAGACTCTGACACCCCTCTTTGTCCTTGGGTGGGAAACACTATGCAACACAAACTTCCTCTTTCTTCATGAACATGTGTTTCTGCCAGAGTGGTGGCCCCCCAGCCCTCACCAGGGCAGCTCGGCCTGAGTTCTGGCTGGGTCTTTCAGGCAAGCCAGCTGGATAGCCTTCTGGTGTCTAGTTTTTCATCCTGTTTTGTTAGTTTTAAAGAACATCAGTTGACTTCCCTTTCCTATTCTTGAATACTTGAATGTCAGGGGGCCTCGTGAGTTGGGGGTCTTGGACACTGCTGCCCCGCCACCCCCAGTCTTGTACAATTGCAGTCTGGGGGCTGATGCCTGTCTGGCCACCTGTATCTGTGGACTGGCCTTTCCAAAGACCCTGGGGTGGGGCAGCTGCCCCCACCTCCATAATTTCTTGCCCATCAGTGACTTCATGTATCACAACTGGGGATTCTGCCTTTTTGTCAAAGAAATGGGGCCTCACTGGCTACAGATGCTGTGGCCACTTCAGTCTGGAAAGCTGAGCTGTGAGCAGCATTTTTTTCTCAAAGGTGGAACAACTTCCCCCATCACGTCTACAGTGCAACCAGGAGGACTGACTAGAACTTACTGTGAATGAGCACCTGGGGCCCAGGGGCCCAGCTGCTAGGCTGCTCTGGTGCTGGGGGAAGGGGAACGGCAGTGTTTCCATGTTAGGATGTATAAAAAAAAAGACAAAACAATTCAATTTTTTTAAAGTGGGGGAAAGACATCCAAGCACTTTAACTCCACTGTACCAGGTAAACTGATACAGCTCAAGTTTTCCTTGACACCAACCGTCGATGCCGGAATTTTGTATTCTGTTTTATAAGGATTTAATAAAACTCATAAAAACTGGTTTTCTGTTGCTGCATAACAAGCTGCCCCAAATCTAGTAGCCACAAACTTCATTGACAGTGATCCTGTGATTTAGGAATTTGGACAGGGCGTGTGGGGCTGGCTTGTCCGTGGGGTCTGTGAGGGTGGGGATCAGGCAGTGCTCAGCTTGCCCGTCCAGTGTTGGTTCCTTGAGCCTTCTGTGACAGGCTTCTCTGAGCATCATTTGTGTGTGGGGGTGTTTTTTTTTTAGGATGCCAAGTTTTATTTTTGGGGGGGAAGGGACACCATACTTCTGTTCCATTAAACTTTTTTTTTTTTTGCCCTGGCCGGTTTGGCTCAGCGGTTAGAGCGTCGGCCTGCGGTCCTGAGAGACCCGGGTTCGGTTCCCGCTAAGGGCATGTATCTCGGTTGCAGTTTGTCCCCGGCCCTGGTTGGGTCGTGTGGGTGGCAACCACTCGATGTGTCCCTTTCACGTCGATATTTCTCTCTCTCTCCCTTCCTCCCACTCTATCTAAACATAAAATGGAAGAAATGTCCTCGGGTGAGGATAAAAAAAATAAAAATTAAAAAAAAAAAAAAAAACTTTTTTTTTTTATCAGTACAGAGTTCTTTTTACACTTATGCCATGAGTTCATAGGGAATGGGTTCCATCAGCTCAGGCTCCTTTCCACTGGTTCTCACAAAATGTGCTTTTCTGGGTGGAGCTGAAGCTTCAGTTGAACCCAGGTACTTTTCTCCTTGGCTGCTTTTTCTGATCCTTTCCTTCACATGTTTCAGGAAGCTGTCTCAGCTCTTAGAGTGCTTAATATGCTCAATATGTACGTAAATTCTCGGCAAGAATCTTGCCCTTAAGTTGTTCACAACAATGCCCATTGCATGCTGGGTGACATGTAGACTCTTCCAGATTGCCATAGTAACATTTGTGGGGCATTCCTTTTTGAACAGTGCCCATTCCCTTTATGTCCACAACATCACCTTTCTTAATATATTCGCATGTTATGTGGCCAAAGGAACAACTCCATGTTTTCTAAAAGGCCTAGAGAACATATAGCGGGTGCCTCTCCTCTTTCCCTTTGTGTTAGTCATGTTGGCAAATTACTGGAAGAAGGAGGTTCTGCCCCCCCCACCCCGCGCCAAAAAAAAAAAAAACCAGCATGTTTTTCAGAGTGCATACAAATTAGTACCGGTGTTTTACTACTTTTCATGGCTGAGTAATATTCCAGTATTGGGATGGGCACCATTGTATTTATCTGTCCATGTTACCACTTTCGGCCACTGTGAATCATGTTTCTGTGGACACATGTGCATAGGTTTTCTGTGAATGTTTTCATTTCTCCTGGTGGACACCACAGGAAAGATGGGAGCAGGGCAGAGACCCAATCAGATGTCGCTTTTGGAAGGACCATTATTGCCACCATGTGGGGTGTAGATGAAGTCTAAAGGACTCAACTGTTGTCACCCTCGAAGCAAGCTGGGTGAGGGATGACAGGCCTGGTCGGTGTGTGTGTGTGTGGGGGGGTGTTCTTGGTAGACAAATGGCAAATGCCAGGCATAGTGAGGAGGTGACCTGCCAGCACCTGGGGACGACCTGGACTCAGTTGGAGTGAATTGGGGACTTTCCGGGCTGTTGGGAGAGAAGGCACACCTGGCAAGGCGTAGACTCTAGGATTCCCTGTGAGTGAGGTGCAGCAGGTCACCCCTCTCCTGCTTAGAAACCCTCCTCTCACCTGGCCCTTCAGGAGGAATCCTGGGCCCCCTGAGCCTGTCCCCTGCCCCCTGCATTTCTTCAGCTACCTCCTAGACTCAACCTCTGCTTTCCCCTCCAGGACCAGGACCCGAGCCTGGCCCCCAAAGACCACATCTGTTTCCCCAAGCCTCTCTCTTATCCCTTGCCCAGCCTGGCATATGTGTATGGACAGGGAAGGGTGGATGCCACGTGCCAAGCCACTACCCTCCCAGGTGACACAGCCCTGCCCAGCCATGCCAATGACCGCTCCCTGCCCCCTGTTGCCTGCCAAGTCCTGTGGCCGGGCACAACTTGTTCTCTGAGCCTCTGCTGTGGATTTTATGTTAGTGGTTTCCTCTTGGCAGATCCCGCCCTTCCAATCTCTCTCCTCCAAGAGCAGCAGGAAAATCCTGGAGCTGGAGCAGCTGGGATCTTTTCCCAGGCTGGTGACTGTGGCTGCCCTGCCACTCTGGGCCATCTTGACCTGGGTAAAGGGAGATGCCAGCTTGGACTCTACAGTTGCCTGCTGGCTCTGGCCTCACATGTCCCAGTACAGGGCTGTCAAAATCACATCTGTGACTTGGGAAGCTACTCTGAATTCCCCTTAACAAGACAGCAGTGCTGATGTTCAGTGCTAATAATAGGAGAAACAGGAGGGGCTATGGAAACTATTTGTATTAATGGTACAGTTGTTTTTTAAATAACTTTTTAAATCCTCACACACACACACACACACACACACGTGTATATATATAATTTTTTTTTTTTTTTTAGAGAGAGAAGAAGGGGGAGAGAGAGAGACATTGATGTGAGAGAAAAGCATCCATCGGTTGCATTCTATACATACCCCGACCAGGGATCAAACCCAAAACCTGGATATGTGCCCTGACTGGGAATTGAACCCACCACCTTTTGATTCATGGGATGATGCTCCAACCAACTGAGCCACATTAACCAGAGCTAAACCTAAAACTTTTTTTTTCAGATAGAGTGAGGGAAGAGAGAAAGAGAAACATCGACGTGAAAGGGACACATCGAGTGACTGCCTCCCTCACGACCCCAACCAGGGCTGGGGACGAATCACAACCGAGGTACATGCCTTTAGCGGGAACTGAACCTGGGACTCTCTGGTCCTCAGGCCTATGCTCTAACCGCTGAGCCAACCTGGTTAGGGCCTAAACCTAAAACTTTAAAAAGATTTTTATTTTTATATTTAAAAAATGAAGTGAGAGAAGCCACACAGTGTGATTCCATTTATGTGAAATGTCTAGAATAGGCAAACCACAGAGACAGAAAGTGGGTTCATGGTTTTCTGGGGCTGGGGAGGGGATGGGGTGACTACTGATGGGGGATGGGGCTTTTTTTGGGGGGTGATGAAACATTCTAGAATTAGGTTGATGGTGATGGTTGCACAACATGGTAAATGTACGTAATGCCATTGAATTGCTCACTTTAAGAGTGCATATCTTAAAAAAGGAAAAGATGGCCCTGGCCAGTTTGGCTCAGCGGTTGGAGCGTTGGTTGGCCTGCGGTCCGGAGAGACCTGGGTTCGGTTCCCGCTAGGGGCATGTACCTCGGTTGCAATTTGTCCCCGGCCCTGGTTGGTCGTGCGGGTGGCGGCCACTCGATGTGTCCCTTTCACATCGATGTTTCTCTCTCCCTATCACTCTATCTGAACAAAAAAATGGAAAAACGTCCTCGGGTGAGGATTAAAAAAAAAAAAAAGGAAAGGATGATGGACTGAGTTTGTGTAGGTCTGGTACACAGCAGGTACTCAATAAATATACCATGTAATGACTCATCACCCCAAAGTGTGGGGAGGATGCCAGCACATGCACCTCCTCTCAGACGTAGAAGTTTTCATGTGTCCCTTTCACATAGATGTTTCTCTCTCTCTCTCTCTCTCTCCCTCCCACTCTATCTGAACAAAATATCAAAAAAATGTCCTCGGGTGAGGATAAAAAAAAAAAAAAAGGCTTCAAAAGTGGCTTTGCTTGCCTTAAAAAAAATTCTCACCCAAGGATATATTTTTATTGATTTTAGATAGAGAGGAAGAGGGAGAGAGAGACACACACACACAGATGTGAGAGAGAAACATTTATCAGTTTTGCCTCCTGCACAGGCCCCAACTGGGCATGGAACAAAAACCTGGGTATGTGCCCTGACCAGGAGCGTTTGGAAACCACAGCCCTCCAGTGCACAGGACGATGCTCCAACCAACTGAGCCACACTGGCCAGGGCTGTGCTGCTAGTTTTTGCAGTGACTATTGTAGATTCACATGCTGCAAGAAATAGCACTTTGCCCAGTTTTCCTCGGTGGTAACATTTTGCAAAACTCTGTTACAATGTCACAACTGCAATATTGACATTGCTACAATACATCTTATTGTGAAATCACCACTTTTACTTGTATCCACTGTGTGTGTATGCAGTTCCTTCCTTGTCCACCTTCAAGTCTCAAAGCAAACAGTGCATGTATTCAACCCAATGAAACTCAGCTTAGCCTCTGTTCTCACCTGGAAATGAAAGGGTATCAGACTGGACTGTCAAGCCAGGTGGCTTCCAACAGAACTTTCTGGTATGATGGACATGTTCTCCATCTGCACTAATACCGTGCACATGATGTGTGGCCAATGAGAATGAGAAACAGAATGCTTCAGTTCCTTCATTTTTAAAAATATTTTTATTGATTTTCTTTCTTTCTTTTGTTTTGAGAGAGGAAGGGAGAGTGAGAGTGAGATAGAAACATTAGAAACATCAATGAAAGGGAAGCTTCGAAAGGCTGCCTTCTGGCCCTGGCCAGTTTGGCTCAGTGGTTAGAGTGTCGGCCAGAGAGTCCCAGGTTTGGTTCCCGCTAAGGCTACGTACCTCAGTTGCAGTTTGTCCCTGGCCCTGGTTGGGGTTGTGTGGGTGGCAACCACTCGATGTGTCTGTCTCACATTGATGTTTTTTTCTCTCTCTCTCCCCACCTCTCTCCCTCCTGCTCTATCTGAAGATAAATACAAAAATGTCCTTAGGTGAGGATAAAAAGAAAAAGAAAGGCTGCACACTCCCTACTGGGGATCGAGCCCACAACCCAGGCATATGCCCTGACTGGGAATCGAACTGGGACCTCTTGGTACATGGGAAGATGCTCAACCACTGAGCAATCCAGTCACACCCAGCCGGGTGGGTTACTTTACCTGAGGATATTTTTTCCATTGATTTTTAGATAGAGTGGGAGGGAGGAGAAGGGGGAGGAGAGAGAGAGAAACATCTATGTGAGAGACACATCTGTTGCCTCCTGTACGACCCTGACCGGGGCCAGGGATCAAGTCAGCAACCAAGGTACATGCCTTTGATCAAGAATCGAACCC